ATAAATTCTATTTCATAATGACAATTTCCAATGTTTAATTTTTACAAATAATATAGAACTCAAATGCATGAACATGAAGGTGTCAGGGACAGTTACTCGAGTTATTTCGGCTTTCTCTACAGAAATTGCTTTTTACTCCAAATTGAATTGACTAAAATGCTTCATAAGAATAAGTTCTTTGAGTATCAGCATTGGTTCGTAATCCCTTATATTCGCGGAAATATTTTGGCCTGACTAGAATTGCTGGTTTGGCTTAACCTTATAACTCGAGTAAAGACGAAACACCTTCGTATTTACGTATTTTTTTATCAATTATTGTTCATTGAACGGGAGTTGGTTTGTTCCCCTTTAAAAGTCAACTAATTTCCGATCAATGAAATGATTACATGTTTTTAATTTTTCCTTTTACAATTGAAATTTTGTTCTTCATGATGATTTAACTCCAGTCCCCGTTAAAACATTATTATCATTTACTTTAAAACATCTTTCAAAATATAACTTACCAGTATGGATTCACTCTTTTAAAATAATTCTACTTTAATTAAACTTAGGAGATAACATAATCAATTAATCAATATTGTTTAGGAATTAAATTATTATTAACTAACTTTGTAGCAATTGCGCAAGTAATAGTAACTTGTTTTCGCACTAAATGAATTTAAGATCATACAACATTATATATATATAACTGTATAAATATATTAACAGATGCAATGAAAGAAATTGCAGTACATATGTATTTATACCCTTTTTAAATCGATCCCACCAGCGGCCGATAAAATCGCTGAACACTAGAAGTTCGGTCCACGGTTGGAATCCCGCGAATGGGCTGGTTGCATGGACGTTTTCGTGGTTTTCCCCATGTGTTACGTGTATACGAGCTAGTTTTCCTTAGAATGTCCTCACGAAGGCAACCCTCACTTTAGGCACATCCTCGAGGCTTCGCGGTAATTACATAAAACCAAAACTAAGCACTTTTTTGATCTGAATAAATATACATAAAACTGATGTAATATCTAAAGGTAGACCCCATTAAAAATCTGATAACTAATTATAAATCTTGCATTATAATATTGACAAGAATTTAACCGAAAATTATACAGGAATTTAACTTGTTTTATACAGGAGGTTCTAGAAACTATTGGAAATTAACATTGATATCGGTACAGTTAAAACTACTTAAATAATTTTTTTAATTCAAAGCAATTTAATGTAAATGTTGAATTTATTATGTGCATAGTTTGAATTATATACTGCATATTCTTTAATGCATGTCTAATGTATTACATTTTTATACACTACAAATTCAAATAAAAGTAGAGGGAAATACATTATAATTCAAAACATAAAATTTCAAAATTTATAAATTACTCATCAAAACATGAAATTAAGTACATTGATATATACATTAGTTTAAAAATTACAATTTTAAATTAAAAGTATGCACCCCTTCTTTATATGCGAAATAGGAAAACACCAAATATATTATTTTCACTAAAATTTAATTAAGGCATTGATTAGAAATAATATGTAACTATAACGCTTTTTGCAATCGGCCAAGATAAGATCTCTATATCGGATCCTTACCTAACGACGGAACATACCCTCAGTTATAGGTAATGGGAGGCAGGATCTTGGAAGAGCTCCTGAATTTTCAAAGGTGTTTTCCGGAAAATCTTCATTTATTTAAGAAAATTTTCGCGAATATCCTCTGCATTGTCTCGTTCTCAAGGCCGGGAGTTCTCCTGTACCTGGGGGTCTTGTCTTCCTTGCAATCTTTTGCAGCACTAAGACGGAGCGTTCAGATAAGTAGAACTTCTTTTCTCTAAGCTAAATCAAATATCTGTCACTAAAGTACCTTTAAATTCATTTATTTATTATGATCATTATTATTATTATGCTCATTTTATTATGTTCTGGCATTAAATACTTAGTAATTGCTTTAAATCATGTGGTTCTTTTTTTGGTTACCATCTCGTAGGGACGCTATCCTTATCAGTAGCCCTTATCAGTAGTGTTAGCACTACCCATTGGGGCCCCTTTGAGGAATTTCTCGAGAGGGAAAAACACGATCTCGGGCCTCAATGAATGTATAGAGTTGTAGTTTTTGCTCCTTTAATCTATATTTCCTATCTATTTAAATTAAAAGCATATATTAATACAGTGTGCCTCAAATTGATAAAATAGTACACATATAATAAATTATGACCATTAACTTAATAAATAAATAAAATGCTTATTTTAAAAAATAATTAATATTAAATTAAAAAAAACTCCGTAATTTATTTACTTATTTATTTTTGCTGATATGTTCTCGCCTTGTTTTGGATTTATGATTTTATCTGATGGTGTTTTCTGAGTATATAAATATGTTGGAAACCGCAATAGATGATGTTACTTAGTTTAATGTATAACTTTGCATGATATTATATGTATCTTGATCTTATGTGTCTTCTGTTACTGTGTCTCAAGGTAGAGGCTAATATTGGTTTCCATGTTAAAAAATAAAAGTTTAAATTTAAAAAAATTTTTATATTTTAGTTTCCCTGTTATAGCAAAAGTTAGCTTCTAAACTAGATTTATACTGTTATGTGAATGGACCCCAATATTTATTATTTTATTATTAATTTTCCCCCATCTTTACATCTATTCAGCTTTACAAAACACACTCATTACACACACCTGGAAGACTCTATTTAATGTAAATGATAACAACTTTGACTACACTCATGAACACAATCGTGGGTTTTTTTTTTAACAAAATTCTCTTACTTCCTTTCCTTTTCTTTCTATAGGCCCTTTTTTTTTAATTATAAATAAAAAAAAATTTTTTTTCCTCTCCATTACTTTTGGGCCATTTATTTTTTACTTTATTTTGTCCCATCTTTTCTTCCTGGCCTTTCGAACTCGTATAAAATATACGAAGTTCCTTTTTACTCTCCTCTGAAATACGAAATTGCCCCCCTTTCTATATACCTTTCCTTCGCACCTATGCTTGATTTTTCGCCCATCGGTGCAGAAAGACTTAGCGGGTGCAACAAAAGACATCTGTCTACTTTGTCTGTCTGTCTGTCTGACAGTCTTATAGCTGTCCCTGACCCGACGCGTCGGCGAGACGATGACACAAGACTCACTCTCGGTCGAGTAGATCGCAAAAAGCGACCCGTTCTTTTATCTCGACGGTGTCCAGACTAGGGCCCTAAGATATGTTCATTAATGCATTCAGTTATAATTCACATATATTCGAAACTACACTATAATTTGTTCGATGATGGGTAGGGTTAGTAATACCCAGGTACCCTGGTGTCTGGCACCATTTTAGATTACCATCTATCTTCACTATTCGCACCGTCGGTGCGATTAGCCACTGCGTAGAACAACACGGTGTTGGTTAGAACCTCCATGATCTGTCTACTTTGTTTGTCTGTCTGTCCTTTTGGTTAGTCAATTTTCTCTCACTTTTCTTTTAATGTTAAATTACATCAATTTTTTATCGAAATTTATAGCCTTTGAGTCTCTTCCTATTTCCATGAAGGAAAAGATATGAAATATCTATATCTGTACTGAAAATTAATGGCATATAGTAACTAAATTCAGTAAGATTCGCAGCTGCCGTTGAACTTCATCCAGACACTTGCGGTTTTCTCACTATTAACCGCTATAAGTTTGTTTTGTAAACAAAGAAGTGAGTGTTGTATGAAAAAGTAAACATTGCATGTGGCTGCGATCACGAAAGCTGGAGGCAGTGTCTAAACATAGCTCCGAAATTTTTTAAATAAGCGTTTCAAAAATGTTTTCAACTCTCTAAAATAGTTAAATGCACCTTTCCTATGCAATGTCTCATTCATCAAATTGAAAAAGGAAACTTCAGGTGTTTTGTTAGCTGTTCACTATCAACACGAGAAATCCAAAAGAGGCCCTGACACGGAATATTCAGATAAGTAACATTCTGTTCTCTATACAATATCTGTTTCTCTATCACTAGAGTGCCATTAAATTTCTTTATTTATTATTTTTCATAAGATTCTAGCATTATACAATAGTTGGTAATAGTAGCAGGTCATGTGGTTCTTTTCTTCGTAACTATTCCGTAGAGACGCCACATTCCTTATCAGTAGTCCGTTCTTATCAGCAACTCACACCCTTCGGAGGCCCCCCTTTTCGTGCTTAGGAATTTCTTGAGAGGGAAAAATGGGGATCTCTTGACCATCGATGAGTATAGATTGTGATTTTTGTAACTAAGATCCCCGACTTTTTTTTTTTTTTCAGGTCTCAAACTTAGAATTATGAGCAAATAAAAATACAGTGTGACGGAATTTGTTAAACTTGTACTATAATAAATTACAACGGTTAAATTAATAAATTAATTTTATATTTAACTAATATTTAAGAAAAATAAACTGTATAATTTATTTTTGCTGAAATGCTCTCACACTGTGTATGATGGATTTATAATTTTGTCAATTACTGTTTTTCTGAAATATACATGAATTTTTTGGGAACGGTAATATTTAATGTTACTTTAGTTAAAATATTATGTACATCTCTGTGATGATATATGTCTTTTCTAGTTAGGTCTCAAGATAAGGGCATACACATTACCATGTAGGAATTCATTCCTTTTTTTTTTTTTTTTTTTTAACTTAGCTAAAGTTTGCTTCTTAAAGACACTAATTTTTGCAGATGAACTCCTTAACTACACTCATGGACACAATCGTATTTTAGGATATTTTCTACTTCTTTTCCTTTTCTTTCTATAGGCCCTTTTTTTTTCTCCTCTATTATTTTTGGGCCATTTATTTTAAATTTTATTTTGTCCCATCTTTTCTTTCTGGCCTTTTGAACTCGTACAAAATGTACGAAGTTCCTTTTTACTCTCCTCAAATACGAAATTGCCCCTCTTTCTATATACCTTTCCTTCGCACCTATGCTTGATTTTTCGCCCATCGGTGCAGAAAGACTTAGCGGGTGCAAAACAAGACATCTGTCTACTTTGTCTGTCTGTTTGTCTGTCAGTGAGTGTTGTATATTAGTGTGTTGTTTTTTAAGTAAGCGAAGAAATTTAGGTTAGATTAGACTGAAGGGTATCCCTTGTATTATCGCGAAGTTGTTTCATTTATCGCCAAGTCAAAGGAGTGCGCAATGCCAAGTTTGTACAATTCTCTAATGTTTTTTTAAGTGAAAATAGGTCGACGTGTACATGTATAAAGTCAAGGGAGTGCGCAGTGCTTAGTTTGTGCAATGCTGTGATGGTTTTTAAGTGAAAATAGGTCAATGTGTACATCGATACCGAGTTTGTGCAATTCTTTGACTTGTTATCAAACTCGGTATCCATGTACCGCCAATATTCGCCAAGGGGTACCTGTAAATATACTTTTACCGAAATATAATGTAAACGCTGTAAAAGTTCAGCGGGGTTTTCTTCCGCAAAGGATCCGTTGGCTCCGATCGTATTTATTCGCCAAGCTCACCAATGGCTAATCGGGCGTGATTTTATCAGTGTATAGTCAAAGAATATGTATTGTTATACATTCTCTGGTATATTTAAGTTGCAAGATATTTATCATATGGGAGTCATGATTTGATTTAATTCTAGTATCCGGTGCATACAGGATTTGGCTTCTTTTGGCGACTTTATGATGAGCAGTAAAAACGAAACATATACGATGAGTAGTAAACGGGTCATTCAAAGAATATATATAGTGTATAGTATATACATAGACGTTCTTTGGGTCATTTTTGGTGTTGGCGATAATTTTCAAAATCGCGCCAAGGCTGCACCGTATACTAGGATTTTACCCATGATTTTAGCGGTGTACAAGTCAAGTTATAAGATATTTAGCATAGGTTGATAATGACATTTAGCGGTGTATAGTTAACCCGGGAGAATGCACGATGTATTATTATTTAACACGAGAACGCGCGTCGCAATTAAATGACATACAAATGAAACATATTATTACAATTCAGTAAAATAATGCATTCTGTATTAATTGCAACATTTATTATATAAAATAACTTTAAAATAATGTTAATGGTAAAATCTTAGTATACGGTGCAGCCTTGGCGTGGTTTTGAAAATTATCGCCAACACCAAAAATGATCCAAAGAACGTCTATATACCATACACTATATGCTATGTGTGTACATACATAATATATACTATATATAACTATATATATTCTTTGAATGATCTGTTTACTACTCATCGTACATGTCCCGTTTTTACTGCTCATCATAAAGTCGCTAAAAGTAGCCAAATCCTGTGTGCACTGGATACTAGGATTAAATTTGAAAATTAATAACAAATGAATGTACTTACATTTTCTTCAGATGACTAGGAATCATTGATTTCTATGAGACATTTGTGTTTTTTTATTTTTGAATGCAATGCCAAGCAGTAATAACTTTAGGGGGCATGACAGTGTGATGGCCCAAGATACTGAATACTGAAGATTCAAACTTGGGTCAAACTACCAGTATTCAGCTATTGTATTGCTCAACTGCTTGTGAACTTGAAGAAAAGTATGAATGTCTTGTTAGTGAAACCCATGACGTAAGAAAATCGGGAAAATTTATAAAGATTAAAACATGGTCGATTTTGTTATGAATTCCATGATTTTGACATGTTTTAAATACACTCCTGCTACACGGATAGAGGTGGAATGATCCTTGTCCTGCTTACAACAGATATATCATGTCAATGTAGAATCTGAAGGAAAGTTTAGGTTATTCGAATATGGCAAAGAATACCGGCTATGGACCTGAAGAAAGATGCCATCTTGAACAACTTTCTAAGGGAACTGGCTTGTATTTGCATTACATTTGAGTAAAACTAGAAAAATCAACCATGATATGAAACCAGATCAAACTACCAGTATTCAATATCAGTTGCAGGAAAAATCTGAAGAAAATGCTTGCAATATCATGTAATCAGAAATTAACTGTGTGTTGCATAGCAGGATTACTTTTGCAAGTTTCGAGGCAGAGAATACTACATTTTTTTGTTTGTTTGTTTGTTTTTTTTCTTTATATAGGTATTTGGCCATGGTATTCATTACATATATTCTCTGTCATTCATACAGAATACTAATATTTTTAGTAAAAAGGGTCTTTTTCATTAAGTGCTTTGCTTGTTGATATTCTCAAAATTATGTTTAATAATTAGTGCTACTGTACATTTAACAGATTAATGGATTCATTACTAAATAATACATTTAAAACATTCATTTTACACAAGCAAATTTTCAAAGTTGTTTTTTGAATTTACTTGGTGATAGCTTAAAATATTTTATTTTGAAACAGTTGTCTTTTTCATAATAAATTTGATAATGCCAAGTATCTTCAATAATATTCAAATCCTTTAAAGTAGCATTGTAAATAAAACTAGAATAAACATTATGCATCTTGTTATCTTTCAAGATTCATTCAAACTTTGATTAATTACTCAAAGCAGTGGTTTACTAAATTTGATGACCCTGGGAATACATAAAAGTATTTTGTCATATCAGAGAACCAATAATAATTTATTTTTATTCTAATCATCCGTTGTATATAAAAACCTAGCATCCTCTGAAAAGTAATTTTTTAAAATGCATTAAAAATATATCAAATTTTTAAGCATGAAAACTGATTTAATTCTTATTATTTTAAGTAAAAATAACAGTAATAAAATTAAAAATTATTTAAAACGTATATTATTGTGGCCCACATTAATCATAATATTTTAGGAGCCCTGTGGTTCTGCATGTTTAAAGACTTTTAAAAATTATGTAAGAACACAGCCATACTATTCTAAAAAGCCATGTTATATACACCGCCAATTTTCACAACCTCACCTGGTAGTGACGCACCGCTAGACAGCGGCAAAACGGAGCCCCGACGAGAAATACAGAAACAGATGAGAAATATTCTCTAAGAGCGAACCAGGTGTCTGCCTCCGACAAACCATTTCGCCGTGTTACCAGCTTTGAACTTTTATCGCCATTTTTGGCGATGTTTACATTTATCGGATCCTTTGCGAAAGTGCTTCCGATCAGCGTGAAGGTGTTAAATATATCGAAGTAGTATTTTTTGGGAATAAAAGATTGAAAGAAATTTGAGTATGACAAAAGTACGAAGTAATGTTTTTTGGAATACAAAGTTGAAACAAATTTGAGTATGAGAAAAGTAACTTATGAGATTTCAAGTCAGTTCCCATTTTTCTGATTACAAATTCAGCTGTGTTTATAGGTTACATATAAATTGAAAATTAAAAACCATAATTTCAGTATTCTAGTAATTTTTACAGATTATGTTTAATGAAGAGTTTTGTATGGTTAGAGTTATAATTAATAAAAAATTATACCACAAAAAAACGTTAAAGATCATTTATATATATAAGAAATGTCGGTACTATTCTATTTTGAGGCCGTAAAAAAATTGCAGCTAAAATGTATGCACAAAAGTGCCAAATCTAGCAAACACGCCCATTTAACAGTACGCCAAATCTAGCGTACGTCCTGATTTCAGATTGCGTAAGTTTATATAGTTCTATATTTCGTAAGACACCATTGAAATACTAGTTTAATTTTTAAATCCTTTTTTGATATCTTATGGATTTAACAATTTGGAATTGACCATGACGAAAAGTCTGCAATAGAATTTTGAGTAAAGTGCAAAATCACCCACTGCTTGACGTGTTTTTAAGGATTGCACGTACTCGGTATCCATGTACACATTGACCTATTTTCACTTTAAAAAAAAATCTCAGAATTGCACCAAAATGGCACTTTATCTATGTACTTGACTATGTATGTATCCCTTGACTTTATCTATGTACACATCAACCTATTTTCACTTAAAAAGTAAAAGGAAATTGACAAAAATCCAATTGTTTTTACCCTTGTAAAAAGCGGCAAACAAATAAGTGGGCGATTTTGCACTTTACAGAGAATTTTTTCATAGAAAAGGCATCATTCATTATAGAAAATTATGTTTGAACAACCAATGAGATGAAATTATGCTTTAGCGATAACTTTGTAGCAAAATTGCAATGCAGGCATCCATTCAGTTATGCTTAGCAATTTTTATATAAATTATAAAAATCATCTGAAATAGTTATTTACTCTTATGCTTCCATTCAATCATGTTTAGCCTTTTTTTATATAAATTATAATATGTTAGTTGAATGTTAAATATACATATTATTGTAAAATGAAAGAAGAAGTTTAAAATTCCATTTTACTGAGAATCAGATCCAAAATGAGTTTAGTACGCTTCGGTAATTCTCCCATTTTCGATCCAGATCTAAATTCATTACATTGAGGATTATGAATAAATTATTGATTTAATTAAAAAAAAATGAAAGTCAGAATTTCCTATAGTATTTTCTTAATGTTGCCACTCCTTTTAAACTTGATCAGAAACTTGATGATAGCACAATAAATCAATGTGGCCGAAGCGACGCTACAAAATCCCTTCGGATTTACATCTGTTACGGAAGATAATCTTTAAAGTGACTAGGGAACTTTAAAAATTACCAAGTTCTGGTAGTCTTGGTTTATTCTGAGTCTTTGAATATCCTTCAATATGTGTTGATTGAAACTCATAACTTTTGCTTGGATTTTTTTCAGTATTGAAATCCTTATCCTATCTTGCACGTACAGGATATGGTCCAAGATAAATGGACTGTAATGAAGAATTGCTGATGTTGTTCTATAGGAGTATGTCAAAATAGTTGGAAAATTGTTTAGAAATAAAGACTAATCTATTTCCACAGGCCTTGGCTTCATATCTCTTACTATTTTTCCAAAGGTTTTGAGGAAATTCAGACACAAAAATTCCAGGGGCGTAGCTAGAGGGGGCATCTGTCCCTGGGCGCAGAATCCAAGGGGTGCCAAACTGATGTTATGACATTTTAGAATTAAACATTTTCCATCCTTGGCAAGCAGTAGGGGACACGAAATCTTCAGTTGTCCCTGGGTGCTGAAAACCCTGGCTACGACTCTGAAAAATTCAAAATTTACTTTGTTTCATGTGAAGTGTTGTTAAAAAGAATTCTCATGCCAGTGCTAGGGCGACTCTGTGTACAAGTTCTGCAGATAAGCAACTGAAGTTTTCTTTGATAGCAGATGTCTAAAAGAGTGAAAGGCAATGCTTTCAGTTATT